AAGCCTATTTGTCCAGCATATATAACTACACCCTTTTCAAAGGCAGAGGTGGGCTTCCCCTAAGGAAGTGAAATCTGGTTTAGAAGATAACAGAACAGCTAATCCTCAACTTACAACCATTCATTTAGGAACCATTCACAATGGCACAGCGAGGAAGGGGTCAAGCTATTTTCCAAGGCACCTGAAGGCCAGACAAGAAATAATGGATGGAAACTAAAGGAGAGATTTAGTGGGAACAATCAACCGATAGAACAGAAGTTGCCTTCAGAAGTTGTGGGAAGCTTCATCACGGGAAGCTTTCAAGAAGAGATTGGACTGCCATCGGTCAGAAATGGTGAAAGGTATCCTGCTTCGGCAGGGGAGTTAGACTAGATGACCTACAAGGTCCCTTCCAACTCTGTTAATCTAAAAAAAAAATAGTGACTTATGACCGGTCATTGCACATAGGACTGATACACATCCTCAAGGTCACATGATCAAAATGTGTACACTTGGTGCCTTGCGTGTATTTACAACAATTGTGGTGCCCCGGAGTCATCTGCAACCTTCCCAGCCAACTTCCTAGAAACAAGTCCTTGGGGAAGCCAGATTTGCTTAATGACCACATGATTCACATCACAACTGCAGTGATTTGTTTAACAACCATGGCAAAAAAAAAAAGATTGTAAAATCAGGCCTCACTCATTTAACAATCACATTGCTTAGCAATGGAAATTCTGGTCCCAGTTGTGGTTATAAGTCAAGGACTACCTACAAGAAGAGCTGGTGACATCATCCAGGGCTAAGGCCAGACTTGACTGGACATAACACCAGGTACCCCTAGAGTACGACACAAGCTTTCCGGAGTGTAGCAAAAATCAGAAGGACAATTGGAGTGTCACAGCTGGACTGCTGCAGCCATCATTGCCTTGATGTTGACACAACACCTGTAAGTTAAATAAAACAGGGGGCTGAGATATTCTAGCTATGCTTGCATTTCTTAAGAGGGCTAGATCATTTTTTAAGAATGATATTTTGGTCCTACAGTAGTTGGTGAACTACAGGATAATTTCTTCTAAATCCAAACAAGCGTATGAGAAAATTATAGAAGATATCCACAATTTTGTCTCGTGGTATTGTCTTTTGATTATTTTCAGTTGATGAATAAGTTGCTCAGCCAATGCAAATGTCCTTCTTCTAAACTAATTCTAAAAGATTGCTGAATAAAAGGAAGAAACAATATTTCCGTTCCAATGTTATAAGATTTCCAAATTGGAAATTTCTATCAATTTGACCACTTCAGGGAGCTCCAACAGAGGAGTTTGAGCTGAAGTAAAGTAGCTCATAAGTCTCTATGATGTGCCTTTTAAATGCAAGAGGGAGGGAGGGAGGGGGAGAGAGAGAATTTTCCCTACCCCAAGATTATGAATCTTGAGTTAAAAGCAGCCTTCCAAAGGACACCAGCTCTCTTAAGGGACAAAAAATACTTTCCATTGTGTAATCCTATTAATTTTTTTCTATTCATCCTTGTTTGTTTCGTATTTCACTCAATGTTGTTTAAGTTCACATTATTTCAAATTTACATTTATTTCCTTTGGCTTTCCATTGATTCTTATTTGTTGATGGCTTGGTTAAATTTGTGTTTTTCCTCTAACATTTTTGTTTCTTTATTCCTCTTTGTGATGGCTTTATTAAAGTATTCTAGTTAGTTGTTATATTTCCAGATGTCACGCTGTTTTGAAGCATTTAAGGGAATTCTGGCTGCAAAAGTTGGAGGTGGTGGCAAAAATAAGTCCTTGTTGGGAACTATTTCACTTTTCCTGTTGCGAATTTGGTTATTGATGTTCCTACATCAATCTGTGATTGTTTCTTAATGAGAAAAGTTTACACAATATATAATTTATATCTATGTGCTGTAATCCTTGTATACAGTTTGAAATAACCCGAGCAGCTTGGAGCTTCACCTAACGCAATTCTTTTTTTATGGTTCACATTAATGTCCATGTTTACTCCTATACTTCCCTCTGATATTTCCATTGTTGTTCCATGGATACTCTGCTGTTATTGGATTGGGAAGCTACACTGCAAAATTTGGAAAATGTGTATTTATGCATTTATGCATTGGCCTGAGAGGTATAAAACCAAAATAGATTATATTAGAAAGAATCTAAAAGACTTTCTTCTGCACCTCAGAATTCAGGGAATGTTTTTTTGAAACAAAACTGATGCCTCTGGAGAAAGGTATTCCTCCCACCCTATTCCCAAGTGAGTGACAAATGGGTATGAATGAGCTAATTAGAATGGACCCATCTGCACCTATTTGTAACTCATCACATTTGTACGTAATGAATGGAAGCTGAAGCAAATGGGCCCCAATCTGTTCAGTTTTTCAGTCATTAGGAAACAAATGCAGATCCCTATGGTTTCACATCGCTGAGTCTCAATAAAATTCGGTTTCATTTAGCACTCAGGGCAGTGGTGGGATTCAAATTTTTTTACTACCAGTTCTGTGGGCGTGGCTTGGTGGGCACAGCAGGGGAAGGATACTGCAAAATCCCCCATTCCCTCCGCACCCCACTAACCTGCTTTCCAGCTCCGCTCTCCTGCTCAGGGCAACAAAAGATGACCCAGCTGATCAGCTGGGATTTGGGAGGCAGAGAATAGATGGGGGTGGGGCCAATCAGAGATGGTATTCTCTGAACTACTCAACATTTCTGCTACCGGTTCTCCAGAACTGGTCAGAACTGGCTGAATACCACTTCTGACTCACGGTGTCCTATATAAGCCCATTGGAGCAATACCTTTATTAAAACCAATCAGAGCAGCATAAAAGGGTTGGACATGCTTTAGGTTTTCCCAAAATGATCTAAAGACAGGAAGGAGAGATTCAACCTGGAAGTAAGGAGAAATTTTCTGACAGTGAGAACAATCAACCAGTGAAACAGCAGTTGCCTTCGGGAGTTGTGGGAGTTTCATCACTGGAAGCTTTCAAGAAGAGATTGGACTGCCATCTGTCAGGAATGATGTAGGGTCTCCTGCTTGGGCGGGGGGTTGGACTAGATCAGGGGTTGCTAAACTTTTGGATTGCAGGGACCACCAAATACATAATTTTAAACAGACCAGAGACCCTGGGAAAACCTCCCCAAAAAGTCTGCAGGAAAATTCCCCACCCCATTTTCCTACCAATCAATCATTCTTTATTTGGGATTGTAGGATACTGTCTCCAGCTCCGTTCTCGGGGGGGGGGGGGGGGGGGGGGG